TAAACACCATCTACCTGAAGGAAATGATGTGGGAGCATCTACACTACTGACGCAAAGGAGAAGATTCAGACATAGCAAGCGACATAGGGCATTTAGATGGATCTTGAAGCCTAGATGTTTCGGTTCACCATCCTTGTCACCCAATAAAGCATACAATCCAACACTTAGTTGCTCCAAGGGCCAAGGATATAGGGAACACCGTCTACCCAAAGGAAACAACGTGAATGTATTTATTGTCAAAAATAGAGTGAAGATCTGAATTTTTACCTCACTATCACAAGAGAAACAATGAAGCTTCTACTCAAAGACTGAAGATCAGGTGTACAGTTTGTCATCCCTGTTACCTAATAGAGTAAGCAACTGCTCTAAAGGGTGAGGATACGAGCAAATACACCTGTCCAAAGGAAGCAACGTAGAAGCATCAACACAGAGACGAGAAGAAGACCCGGACGAAATGTCTACGTCTTTACTTGCCTTTGGAAAAGCAACACAGCTATTCCAAAGGACAAGTAAAGAGGGGCAGCTGTAGACACCTAATTTCGTCTGGGGGGGATACAAACAACAAGATAGGACATCAAAGGGCCCAAAAGCCCAAATCAACTATTTTTAGTGGCCCAGAACGGGCTGTTTCAAATTCAGAATGGGCCGTTCCCAAGTCTGGAACGGGCTGTTCTTGAATTGGAACGGGCCGTTGTAGGTTGGAACGGGCCGTTCCAACCAATCAAAGGGGGCTTAACTTTTTACCCCGGAACGGGCCATTCTGAAATCAGAATGGGCCGTTCTGGTTCCCGGAATGGGCCATTCTGATTTCAGAACGGGCCATTCTAGGGTGCAAATATACTACATAACGTTCAGATCCGGAACGTGTCATTCTGAATCTAGAACGGGCCGTTCCGGCCCACGTCTGATGCCTATAAATAGAAATCTCGGCCACAGTTCTAGGGACCCCAAAAATTTCGTCCAAAACTCCTTAGAGCACGAAATTTCTCTCTCTTTCTCTCTTATTGTATTTCTTGAGATTTGTGATGCATATTGTAATGTGAAAGGTTGCCATAAAGCACTTTCTCTATATTTGAAAATTCAATAGAGCTCGTTCAAGAGGTATTTCAATCAATCTTTTTCTATATCTTTTATTTCTTATCTTTATCTCCATTTTTTATTTACAGCAAACGCAATCATGTAAATATTGTAGGGTTTAGTCATATAATTTAAATTTTCAATATGTAAATAAATATTAATAAAGGGGATTTAATATTTAATTTATTAATTCTTATCATGTTAACTTCATCATAGGATACCGATTGAGGGCGTTGTAGGGGTGCTTAATACCTTCCTTACACGTAACCGACTCCCGAACCCAATTCTGGTTATCAAGGCCATTATCTTAATGCCTTCCCTACACGTAACCGACCCCCGAACCCAATTCTGGTTATCAAGGCCATTATTGGATTTTTAGAAACCTTTTCTTTTTCTAATGTTTTGAGTAAAATATTGGTGGCGACTCCATGAATCTATTTTCAAAACCATTAATTAAGGATTAGTATGGTGTCTGGGCATTCCTTAATTAATGAGACTTTTAAAAGGATGTCCAAACCATTAGGTCACAAGGTCGGAAAAATTCGGGTTGCGACATGAAACATTCAAGCTCTCGGCGTAGCACTGCTGAGCTGTCTTCTGGTTCGCCCTGACAGAGATGATCTTGCCACCACTCCCTGGGAATTTCATTGTGAGGTGCGGGGTAGACACCATTGCTCTGAGTTGGTTCAACGTCGGCCTTCCGATGATTATATTGTAGGATGTTTTGGGTTTGACGAGGAGATATCAGACCATGATCCGCCTTGAGTCAGGGGAGGTTCCGAAGGTTGTCAGCAAGTCCACGTACCCTCGAGTGTGAACTCGCTCTCCTGCAAAACCGACTAGGGGTTCTGTGTAAGGTTGGATAAGGGAGTGATGGATGTCTAACCTGAGGAACGTCGGCCAGTATAGGACGTCAACCGAGCTTCCTTGGTTGATCAGCATCTTGTGGACCTCCCAATTGGCGACCTCCATGGCGATGACCATTGGATCATCCTAGTTTGGACAGATGCCAGTGTAATCGTCGTCAGTGAAGGTGATCGGTGGTGTGATGTGGTGCGGGGCCGAGGTAGCGGGGTGAACATTGTTGATGCTTTGCAAGTGTCTTTTTCGCGCTGAGCTGCTAGAGCCTCCCCCTACGAAACCACATGCAATTGTGTTGATGACTCCCCGCAAGGGGAATGACCCTGTTTCCTGACTTACCTCGGCTTGTACCACGCCACCAGCATTTTGCTGAGAACTAGAGGGTTGGTTCGTGAGAGTTCTCGAACCTCGACCTCTGCCTCGTCCTCGTCCGTTATAGCCTCCTCTGTGACCCTATTGCCGTTGGATGTATTGTCCGAGGTGTCCCCCCTGGACGAGTTCCTCTATGCGATCTCTGAGTGTGCGGCATTCTTCGGTTGTGTGACCATAGTTTCTATGGTACCGACAGCGCTTGGATTTGTCCGCGTTGTTGGGGCTGTGTCCAGGTGGTGGCAGAGTGAGCAAGTTACTGTTGCTGGCCTCCTCCAGGATGTGGACACGGGGTGCATTCAGGGGGGTGTAGAAGTCATATCTCCCCCCTTTGCTTGCCCTGGCAGCTTTCTTGAACTGGCTGTCGTTGGTGACCTTAACCTTGTCTTTGTGACTGTGGTCCGACTTTGCCTGTGATTTTCTGCGAACCTGGTCGCGAAAAGCAGAGTGCTCCTCCATCTGGATGTAGACTGCAGCTCGGGCACGGAGTTCGTCCATGTCGAGAGGAGGTCGCCGACATAGGATGTCGACGAATGGTCCCGGCTTGAGTGCCATGAGCATGGCATGCAAGGCGACCTCGGGATTCAAGTTTCAAATTTTCACCGAGATGCTGGAAAAGCGCTCCATGAGCGTCCTTAGTGGTTCACCGTCGCCCTGTCTAAGACTGGCCAGGGCGGGTGATGTAACGTGGTGAGGTCGACTCGTTGCATATTGTGTCGTAAATCATCTCACTAGAGTGTCGAAGTTATCAATTGATCCCGCCGGTAGTTGGGTATACCAGGCGAGTGCTGCTCCCTTGAGTGAGGTCAGAAAAACCCTACACAGAATAACATCCTCATTAAAGTCTAGGTTTACCTGTGTAACGTATAAATTGATGTGCTCGTCCGAGTTAGCAGTGTCGTCATAGCAGTCGATGTTGAGAGGCTTCCATCCGAAAGGAAGGGGCATCTCCATGATGCCGTCAACAAAGGGGTGGCGGCGGATGCTTGCCCTATGCCCTGGGGCTTGGGCAGGCGCATTACTGACTTCATGGTCTGACCTCGCTGTCGGCATGTGTGACCGATGTGTAGTGGACCTGTGGGTAGGTGCCTTAGGCACGGTCGGTGGTTGGGAAACTGAGTGCCCCTCTTCCTCGTTCTGATTACTCGGTGGAGGGGGTTGATCAGAAGGGCGACGAGGAAGCTGGGCGCGAATGCGCTCATTCTTAGCACGCAACGTCGCTAGGTCGGTTTCGTGCTGGGCACGAATGTTATCCAAGTCGGCTGCGTGTTGCTGCTGCATTTGGTTGACCTGTTCGATCAGTCTTCTTAGCGCTGCTTCACTGTCCATTCTAGTTGTGCGATCTAGGTCGTCTATTGCTCGTCTATTATGGCTTCGGGTGAAAACCATAAGCGTGGCCGATAAGAGCTGTCTTGATCGACCCCACGGTGGGCGCCAAATGTTCTTACCGGAGATCGATCGTAGGGACGATCTGCTAGGCAAGATTGGTGAGCCTCCTTCACAGGGTACGCTTGCTGTTCCATGGCGGGGGTGGTACCTGCAAAAGAGACTTCGATGCTAAAGTTAGTGTTTGTAGATGTATGGGTCTCATATAAGTAATGCACGTACCTTTGTGTGAATTAGGGTTTCATTGGGCCTTGGGCCTTAGATCAGTTACGACCTATTTAGATAACGGACCTCGTCTTGGCCGTTGTCGACTAGCGTGTGTCCGAGGTCGATTTGCGCTGTGATGCCGAGCTTGAGCTCGACTTAGTTATCCGGATAGTACAATACTTACTAATTAATGTTCTATATCAAATTTTTAAAAATTTAATTGTTAAATTAAAAAACTTTTCATATATAGATCAAATTTATAAATGTTTTTAAAAAATTAAAAATCATATGATACTTCGTTAAATTAATTCAAAATAACATATAAAATATTTTTTTTAAATGAGTGTAAAAATTTAGAGGACACTAAAAGGAAATAAATTAATAATTTTATTATGTTTATCATATTAATTTTTATCATTTTATTTCTCTAATTTTAAATAAGTTGCAAAAAATTATAAAGTGACACTTAAATATTTCTTTAGACAGAAAGTGAAAAAGGAAAAGTTATCACTCTATTTATAAGACAATTGTATTTTATAAAAATAAGTAATTTTAAAATTTTTACCGTAAAAAAATATTTCAAAATTATTATATTTTTTAATAAAAATAATATCCCACTTAACAAGTTGGCGTTCTGGAACGGGCCGTTTTGAATCCAGAACGGACCGTTCTGATGTACTCGTGGTGTGTTAATTTTGCATCTGGAACGGCCCATTTTAGATGCAAAATTAACACACCAAAAGTGCACTCAGAACAACCCGTTCTGGTCCAGGTCTATTCATGAAATTTGGCATCCACGTGGCATCCACCTATGCATCTACATGGCACATGGCATCTACGTAACCAACAGTTAACTCCGTTTAAATAATTTGGATGAAAGTCCGAACCAATTAATTTATTAGGAACCAAATTGAGACAAAAAATAAAAGTGAGACTAAATTGAAATAAATAATTATTATAAGGGACCAAAATAAGTTTTTAGCCTAAAAAAAATTAAAAAAATTAAAATTAAAACTTATTAATTTTATGAAAATTAAGGATTAATTTAAACTTATATAATATATTATTCACGAGAAAATCTTATAATCAGGATTGAAAGTTGTATGAGAAGAAGGAGAAAGGTTGACCAATGGGCATACACCCACCAACCACTCCACATCTGTGTATCGTCCGACCTGTGGATAAGCTAAGTTAAGCTGTGCCCTGCCTGCACACTGCACACTGCACACACTAACTCAAACCAATCATGCTCCTTTCCTTTCATTTTCATTTTCTTCTCTCCAATTTCAAACCTCATGCAATGCTCCTTCCCTCAAAACCATAGATACCCTTTTCCACTCACAAACTTACCATGTCCCTCCATGCTAAACGCCTTGCCGTTTTGTGCGCACATCTCTACCCCACCCCTTTACCTTCCGATCCCCCCGTTTCGCTCTCCGCCTCTGCTGCTTCGTCTGATACCCAAAACCACACTTTCCAAAACGACTGCGTTTTCTGCAAGATTATCCGCGGTCAATCACCTGCTGTCAAGGTATGCTTTTTTTTTTCAGTCTTTTTATTTATTGGTTATACCATTTTTGTTTTTGAAATTTTGGAAATAGTGGTAATTGGATTTTGAGATGGAATTTTGTAGTGTAAAAGCATAAACATTAAACAATTGAAATACTTGTTCAAGCAAAAGTTTTGTGAAAACTACATAGTATTCGAAAGTATGTATCGAATATGTGTCAGTTACGGAAATTGAAGAATGAGTGATTCGTAATGGTTTATCCCTTCCTTGGATCTTGTGCATGGTGGTAGCTTTATAGGACTAGGTTACTTTTGCTTTTGATGATTTAATGCTTAGACATCATGAACTATTTGAAATTGGGAATAGTACACTTTGTTGTTCTTGCAAACATGTTGATTTTATTTTTTTTAATCTACGCACTTATTTGTTGTCATTCCTCTTTTGTAATAATTGATATGCTCTTCAACCAAGTTTTCTCATAGCATTGACCCGGCTTTTCTTAATATTTTGTCAAACTAACAGCTTTATGAAGATGACATGTGCCTATGCATATTGGATACTAGTCCGCTGAGTCATGGGTAAGGTATCATGTCTAAAGGTGCAATTCCATAGGTATATTGTGAGGCATTGTGTTTTGTTATTTCACTAATTTATGACATATACATATAGTATAGGCTATACATGGAGCAAATAAGAAGCATGTATTTTCAGATTTAGATTTGAGTTGTGACATTATATCACCTCGTCCCGTGGGTGGGGGGCTTCATCTCATTGATGAACCTTTCTGTATACTAGAGGATCCATCAAATGAATGACTCTTCTTGGAATAAGATATCCTTCTGCTTAACTAGATGTACTTAGGCTATTATCTCCAATAATGGCTTCATGTACTTGTTTTATGCCAAATGAATAACATGAGATCAAGTTAGCCAATAGCCACAAATAGACACATCAAGTTTTTTAGACGATTCCCTTTGTTTCCAACCAAAATTCTACAAAGCACTAGTGTTGCAATGGCTATGCCTTGGGCTGTTCTAAGAGGATAGAATGAGAGAGTATGAAGATTTAGTGGAAGGGAAAAAGATATTTAAGCATGAGTTTAAGTGGATATGTTATAGAGCATAGAATTGTGAACAAAATTCTGAATAACAGAGTAGGGGTAGGGTATTTGGCTGAGGGGAAAGGAAGAATAGAAAATGTTTAGAACAGAGATCATGGGATGTAAAATGGTAAGAAAGTAAATAAATATGGGTAGCTTTTTTTTCAAGTTAATTACAAAAGGCCATTCAGCCTTTCTTTTCTTCTGGTGATACACTTCAAAACAAATATTCTGAACTGTGCAATTTAATTTGAAAGAAAAATGAGAGTAAAGTGATGTACTCTGTACAGTTTATTTCTTTTAGAGGAATTCTGAAATATCCATTTTTAATGCCATGGTTAAATATGATGAGTAGTGGATAATTTCATAGTTTGTCAATGGCATATTTTTTTATTTGGTAATCATCATTGCCTACAAGTTTCCAATCCAATTCCATTTATTTTTTCAACTATACTGCATGGTGTTGTTAGTTTATCTACTTCTCACTTCTACATTGTGTTTACTAGGCACTCTCTCATTATCCCAAAATCTCATTTTCCTTCATTGGATGCTACTCCTTCATCAGTAAGTAATTTTCTATAGGTACAAGAAAATTGAATTTATTATTTTGTAACTTCTTTATCGGCTTTACAATATAATTTAAAGTCATTGATAAATTCTTTTTCCATAAGGAAAATTCCTTTTTAGAAGGTTCTTGTGATAGATGTTACTAGTGTTATCAATAATTAGTTATTTTAAATGAAAAGAGGCATATTTATTATTGTTTAAGGTTAAGAAATAACATGCATGTGTGCTGGTATCTCTGCTTAATCAGTGAAATAACTTGTTCAAGTCTTATTCCCAACCCATGTGGTAGTGACTGCGAAAAGTGAGGTGGTTTTTCTTTTGAAATGATTGTGAACCTTGTGGTACTTTGTAATCTGCATCAACAAGTCTCTGATTTTTTATTTTAAACATAATATCCTAGTGTGGATGAGCTAACAAACCAAAACATGCGGTCTTGTATCTTTTCGAATTATTGAATGTTTTAGCATTTGTTTTTCTTTCAATTTCATCAAGCTCGAAAACTCAACTAAATTTGTTGCTCTTAAAGTGCAAGATTAATATCTGCAAAGTGGTGTACCTGCATGTTCAATCAATTTAAATGTTTTGTAAATTTGAAACGATGGTCCTGTTTATTTGCCCAAAAATGTTTCACATTACAAATATGAATTTGTACCTTCCCTGTCTGAAAACGTTATTGGTTGTTATGTTTTGCTAGGTTTTCTCTCTTTAATAGCTATTAAGTTAAAGGCTTCGGTCCTGATTGTTTATTTCATTTTCGTGAAAGGAATAGCAGTGCTCTTATTTACCTAGGCTGATTGGCTATGATACAGGTGGTAGCTGCAATGTGTTCAAAAGTGCCCTTCATTAGCAATGCAATCATGAAGGCCACTGGCTGCAGTATGTACTTCAACACTTGATTACTTGTCCATTTATATGAACTGAACTCTGCTATGTTTTGTAATCTTTTATGGCTTAGATTTAAAAAACTCAATTGAAACCCTGCTGGTAGTTATCTTATGGGTTACCTCGCGTCGGCTTTTCCAGCAACAATGAGGAAAAATCATTAACATCTGTGCATTATTAGATTCTTGTTTCATAATGTGGTTTCTATGATTTCTTGTTTCATATAAGCCTGTTGATCATCTACTCTTGCGAATTGCAATACTTCTTCTATATGATATTATGAGACTGTTTTGATATAAATATAGAAACGTTTTTGAGAATTTTTCTATTTAAAAAATTTATTTATCTTCAGTAGAGAGATTCTCAAAAACACTTTTAACTTGTATCTTAACAGACTTTTATATCTCACACCACATGGTTTCATTGGATAATTTTTAATTCTGCAGGTTCATTCAACCTGCTGGTCAACAATGGGGCAGCTGCTGGCCAAGTAATATATCATGTAAGATTTTAGATCTTCTGTGCTGTCACTTGCACTTTTGTGGAATCATACATTTATTTTGTTCTCTACAGTCTACACTACAAAATTTGAAATGTGGTTTATTTTGCTATGGAACGTTTTCTCAAATGAACTAATTGGTTTATTTTCAGACTCATATGCACATAATTCCCCGTAAAGCTTTTGATTGTTTATGGGCTTCTGAGGTAAAATTTCATTTCCTTTGCAAAGTTTGATATGATATGCATATAATTATGTATTGGGAGTACTAATCAATTATGAAATTCCTTGTTTTTAGAGTTTGCTAAGGCGTCCCCTTAATTTAAACGATGAGAAAGTTTCTCAGCTTGCTGATCGTATACAGAAGCAGTTGTTACCATCCGAAATTTGCCAGGACACCAAGAATCAAAGTTTTTGTTCAAGTAAAAGTTAGTTGGATTGGTGATCCGTTGTAGCTTAAAATTTCACATTTTCATTTAGAAGAATGATACACGCACATAAAAATAATTTAACGAAACCCTCAAATTAAAAAAAAAAATAAAAATTAGTAGTTGGGACTTCTTAACCTTTGCTTCAAAACCAACCTAAAATTTATCAACTATTCAATTATTGAATGTGAGGGTTATGTCAAAATATTTTTCATGTACATGTATCGTTTCTCTTTCTTGTATGTGCCTATATGTACAGTCAAAAAATTTTATTTACCAGTTACATATTTTCAACGGTTTACCCGGAGAAGATATTTCTTTAATTTGATATTAATATTCATAAGCTCCAAATTCGTGCTTTCTTCTGCACAGACACAAGTATTAAATCAATTTCACCCACATAATAAACTAATTTTTTCATGTGTTTATGGAGTATATTTACCCATATTACTTTAAAAGAAATGTGACATGTAATATTTGTGGAAGAAAACTTGCATCATTCAACTGTCAATATGCAATTGAACCACGTCACTTATAATATTGAATCATATAAAAATAAAGGGTGAAAAGATATGGCAACTAAAGCATGTTGAAGTATCAGGCTCAAGGGGCATCTTGTTGATGAAACTTTCAGCCTCCCTCATTCTACCTGATCGACCAAGAAGATACACAAGACACGCATAATGACAATGTCCTAGTTTAATATTTTAGTCTTCATTTTTTGTTGTTACAAATGAATCAAATGATAACAAAGAGAAGGAAAAACGAAATTAAACAAGAAAGAGGGCTGTGCCTATGGCATCAATATGAAGCAAAGCTCTTGAAGCCTCTGCAAATTTATCATCGAATATAGTTATATCGATTGAATTTTCATTTTATATAAAATTATTAAAAGTATCACTTTTCTAACTATTAAAATTATCTTATTTGAATTCATTGAAACTTACAAAATTGAGTCTCAGATCTTATTTAATAAATCTATCAATTTTGTATTTTTAAATAAATTTTAATTAATACTTTGCAGTTTTAGTAATTTTAACCTATAAAAAATATGTATTATTAAGAAAGTGTGGGGTAGTTCCTTCAATGGTTACAACTTCCATTTATGTATGGGTTGTTCATGGGTCTAAATAATTTGTGAACTTGAATTATCTCATATGAATTCAATTATTTTGACCTAAATTTTCAAGTGTTTAAATCAAATTCAATCTAACACATGTATAGATTGGATAACATGTTTTGATTTTTTAAATTGAAACCAATCTAATCTAACTCATTATTTGTATCTGTTGTTGTTTATTTTTGTAAATTTAGTAATATATGAATATTTTAGTTAGATTCAAACCAACTATACATAATTACTTTTTATAAGAGTTTCTTGATCTATCTTTTTTTTTTTTTTGAAAAATTGGACAAGTCTTAGAATAAGTCAAATTCATATATACACTAGCTCAAATTGCATATACACATTTTATTTAATAAAAAAATCACTTTTAAAAAGATATTATTTATCTATAACAATATATAAAGTCAATATTAGACTTTGGTGTACATATTTCATTTTCCTTTTTTACCCTGTCTCTATTACAAGAAGAATAGATTGTTTATGCATTATTTTAAAACAAAAAAGGGTAAATGGGAATTAACCAAAATCCGAAGTTGTGAACAGTTGAAACAAAGCATGATGAAATCGATGTGGGCAATTAAAAGCACAAATTCATCACCTTTAACATTCTTATAAATGTCACATTACCACATTACCATGTGTTACATTCACTAGAGGTATTATAAATGCTAAACACGCAGTTCGTCTTCTATCATTATTGTTTCACGATCCATTGGATCCTTTGAGCAAGTATAAACATTGGTTAAAGGTATTATAAACTATTTTTGGTTGTCAAAAATACCAGTTGATAGTTTACAATATCATCTTCACTCATTTTTATTGGTGTGAAACTTACGTAGTATTTTCAGCTTTCTTAAGGGTAGTGGTCCCACATTTGGAGCTACTTGAGATATTGTTGTATTGTGTTTAACAAGTAATTGTTCATTCTTTTTATTGTTTTTTACTTGTTAGAGATTTTTGTTTTGTTTAAGGTTTGTATTATCTAAATGTATAAAAACAGGATATAATAACTCATTTCTAGCTATGATCAATTTGCATTTCTGTTATTGTAGTTTGTTCAAGTGTTACTTTTTATTGTACTTTATTAGCGAAGGCTAACTTTTTTTTTTTTTTGTTAAAAACGTTTTTATCAAGGAAAAATAACTAGTTTATCAAATTCCTCCATATCACTACCCTTTACCTCTTCTTTTCTCAAGTCCCCTCATTTCCTTCATAAACTTCTTTCTAAGTTAAAGTCACCAAGTAGGCACCAAGGTCCCCCTCCCTCGTGTTTGTCTCAAGGCCAATAATTCAGGCCATATTACTTTTTCTTCTTCTATATTGCATGACGAGTAGATGTTTATAATGACACAAGACGCCTCTCCTTTCACCCACATCCCTTTGAATCCCAAAAAACCAATCAGTTATTCTGATCCTAACCCTTGAAAAGTCTAGTCTATTGCATGTTTTTATCTTTGCATCCACCTTTACAATCCTCCCATATGAAATGATGATTTTGTCAAAGCATTCCACTCCTTAAACATTCAATAGGATCCCATAGATCCTTACCTAGGCTATTCTTTATCCAAGATATGTGTTTGGTGTCCATTTCTCCACCGATTCAAAGAGCTTCGATATACTCATTCCGATGATTCAAACATTTTCTTGATACTTAGCCCTTCTTCGACTGTTAGCAGCACCATATTATTAACCAGATGTCACACCTTGAGTGATTGACCATTCTCCTCCATGAACAACTCCTAAAAATTTTGCAAATCCATTATGTTCTTAATCCTTGCAACCTTGCTCCTGTAGCCATCCTAGATTGCATTCAATGACCTTTATTATGGTGTGTTTGGCTGGGGAATTTATATAAGGTAATTCATTTATTTGAAGAATTTCAAATTTCTTGAGGTGAAATGTTTTGTTTGGATGGGGAATTTACAAAGAATTTGAAATTGAAGCATTGATGAAATTCCTTAAAATAGTAGAATTTCAAATTCTCTAAAAAATGAGAGAATTTGAAATTTCTCATATTTATTTTTCTTATTTCATTTATGTATTTTATCTTATCTCTTCATTCTTTTAATTATTAGATATTCAAAAATATTTTTAAAATTATTAAATATTATTTAATATTAATTTTAAATTTATTAAATATTTAAAAATGGATTAATATTTATTTTTATAAAATTTAATTTAAAAATTTCAACATATAAATATATTTTTAAAATTAATTTTAATATGATGGAATCAAATTATCATATTCAACCTAATAATTTAAAATTTAAGAAATTTGAATTGACTCATCCAAACAAAATATTTTAAGAATGATAGAAATTGAAATCAAAGTAATTCAAATACCAAAAATTTAAAATTCCTTGAATTTATAAAATTCCTCATCCAAACACACTATTAGGCTCACACCTGAGCATTTCATTTGATTTTTCTTCACCTCCTCTTGATATTTTTCCCTCCTAGCATTGTGAACATCATTCATACCATTACTTTGCTTCTTTGACGACCATGCTTGATTTGTGCTTGTAACTTTCCTTGTTGGCTGTTGGTTTGGTTCCATATAACAAATTTGTTTTCCTTTCCAAGCATCTGATCTTCCAAATTGTTTATATCGTCCCTTTTGTATTCTTTGGCAAATCTTTCTGCTTCCTCTTGGATCTATGTGGATGATGACTTAAGCGTGATTGTTCGAGTGCAAGCATGCCTTTGGTGTAGGAATCATGGTGATAATAGACTTCATAGCATCACTTTTCTTAGTGGAAACCAACATTGTTGAGACTTGGATAGGGTTGGTTGGAAAAGATGAATAGTATTCGAGGTGGTTGGAAGAGCATGTGGTGAGTGATAAGTTACGATGAATGGAGATGATTGTGTTGATATAGTGTGTGTACATAACATGGAGGTGCACCTACACATGATGGTGTGAGTATCTGAGTGCTTAGGTAAGTTTTAAGAAAAAAAAAATTATTATAGTGCATAATTTTGAAATGTTGATTTTATTTCCAATAATTGAAGGACTTTATTATTATGTTGAGTTAAAGCCTTTGAAAAAAAATAACTTATAAAAAATAAAGGTGTAGTGAAATAATTGCAAGGCATCATTTGAAAAATGATGTAGGTAATTAATTTTTGAGATTATCTCCATAGTGAGAAGAATTAATTATTAATATTGATTCTCATGAATGAAATGAGACTCCCTTCAAAACTAATATTATTGTATATGTTGATACCTTTGTGGTATGATGGTATTATTGATGTGAGATTTTTTAGTTTAATTCTTAAAGGCTATTATATGAGAATTTGAATTGTTAACAATTTAGCTAGATATCATGATTTGCTAGAGATACAATGAATTATGGTATTTAACATTGTGGGTTGTCCATTGTATTAAAAAATACAATGATGATTAATTGAGTATTGGATCCATATGAGATAAAATTCACTAATATTGTGTCATTACACTTTGTTACAGTGAAATTAATTTGAGATCAACCAATAATAATTATCAAAGTAGAGTTTGTTGTTGGTTAATCACGAGACTTAATGGTTGAGAACCTCTTTGCAAATATTCTGTGGTTGAGAACCACTTTGCAAATATTTTGCTAGGAATATAAAATTTTAAAAATGTGTGATATAGCAATTGCTTAAAAAATATTTAAAATTATTATGTGTAGTCAATAATAGATTTGGTCGATCCTTTGACTTTAAACTCCCTAGGAAGATATTATTTATGAAACATTGAGAGTTAGTTATAAACATCGAAGGGAATTAGATTTTATTTAAGCCACTTGAAACAAATAGTGATGGTAACCCAACTTTTGTGATTAGTGGTCCCATGAAGATTCAATGAGAAAAATAAGTCACTTGTTAGTTCTTCCAGTACTAAAATTTATTTTAATCAAATTAATTTTTTAAACTTTTCCTGTGGCGTGAGAAAGTGCTAAAGCTTCATTAATGAAAGGATAATCTTTATTATTGAGCTTTACATGATTATCAGAAAGCTTAACCTCTTATAAAGATTTTAATAATTTTTATACCCCTTGTACTATCCGTACCGCTATGCCCAACAAAACCCTAATACACACAAAGGTACATGCATTACTTATACGAGACTCATACACCCACAAACACTAACTTTAGCATCAGAGTCTCTTTTGCAGGTACCACCCCCATCTTGGAACACCAACGTACCCGCGAAGG